AAACATTTCAATATCCCATTTAAATTTTTTTAGAAGTTTTAATAACAGTCCTCTCTGCGCCTCCCCTCGCCCCACCCCATGTGAAATATTCTCATTTGCTCATTTGTTTTCAAGGAAGAAAGCAGAAGCTTTAAGGGTAAATTTATAAAAGGAAGAAGCCAGCAAGAAAAATGTTTTGGGGGAGGTAGAAAAAGTATTAGAACAAAAGTGTTGTTGAATTACTTTTAATTAGTTTTATTGTAATTTGTTTTGATTGTTGTGAGTTGCCCATAGTTTTTGCCAGTTGAACAACACATAGGCTTAATAATAAAAAAATAATGTCCAAATTGGTGAATAACAGTCATGATAAAAAAAATTCTAAGATAGGTACTCCCTGCCTTGAATAGTATTTAATGCATTTCTAATGCCTTCTCTTAGAGGTAAGCTGATATATAGAAGCTGAGTCTGTGGCAAAAAGGTAGTATGTATTGGCCTTGTTAAATACACTCTTGTTATTTTAGCCATTCAGTCATGTCCAACTCTTGTCAACTTTATAAGCAAGTGCTCTCCATGCTACAGCTTCTTTCAGTTGTTGGATGTTCATCTTTGTATCTTTGTATCAGTTTTGACGTTATCAAGCCAACATATTTTTTTGTTATATGTGTGGTTATAGAATGCAAATCTATATTTAAGGGCCCTTGTGGTTATTATGTTCAATAACAATTTACAAAATCAAGAAAAGGCTAGGGCAAAAATATATCATTTATTAAATAATAAAAGAACATGTAGCCACTTTATCTTTGTTATAATTTTATTACATGAAGCATAACTTTCAAAAGATGTTCACCTTTGCACTACAGAAAAGTAAATATTAAGAGGTAGAGTCAACAGCACTTTATCCTCTTGACTTCAAAAATAGGATAGACCACTAAGGAACTACTGTAAGCAGTTGCCTAGGTCCTGAGATGTTAAGAACCTGGCTCAGTAGTTAGTACAGAGCAGCTAATACAGAGCCCTCAATACTGGTGCATATATGAGTAAAGAATTGTACTGATCTCTGGCCACTCACAAGGAAGATTTGATATAGAGCATGTTAACAATGTAATCTTACATATACTAATATATAGAGTATTCTGGCAAAGCTGTTTAAAAACTGATAAGAGTTGAGAGCTTTATGTGGCTAGTTGCTTTGTTGCAAGAGTCTTATCCAAGAGAGCTTCAGTAAAATAATAGTTTTGTTTCAGACCACCATGGAAAATGGATGGTTTTATTTCCAAAGTGCCTAGGAACAGGTAAAACGAACCCTTGAATCACTGAATGACTTCCAGTGGCTGACTGCTTGAGAATACAATGGATTTAGCAAAGTCAATTTTCCTTATTGCTTCACTACGTGAAGGCAGGACTATGTGATCTTGCTTATATTCAGAGTGAGACCTGTTCATATGACAAATCCATTTAACTGACATGCTAAATTGAATGAAGGTCAACTGTTCCCGTCATGTACAGTATATATTGAATCATGTCTGTGTATGTTACAACACTGTGGATTGGCAGAAAGCCTAGAGTAAACATTTGACTATGTCTGGTAATCTGTTAGGTATAGATTATACATTGATGTATACACTTATATCAGACATGTCAAACACAAGGCCCGGGGGCCGGATGCAGCCCGTGACATGGTTTCATGTGGCACGCAAAGCCATCCTGGAAACAGTGAGGGAATGGCCCCCGCTGCCTTGGCCCCTGCCCAGGCCGCCCAGGAGCCAATGTACTATTTTGTGGTGGCCATCTATGCTGAAACGCATTCAGTCTTAGCTCCACAAGGCTGTCTGGAAATAGCAAGGGACCGGCCCCTGCCGCATTGGCCCTGCCCCTTGGGCACGCACTGGGGAGGTGTCACCCTTTGTGAGGAATGAAGAAATGCACCATCGCCTGGAAGTGGCCAGCAAATGGCCCTCGCCTACTTCACATATCCGGCTTGATGGGCTCCAGGAGAGGGGTTTCAGCAGGCAGTGGGGTGCTATCCTCACAGCGCCGAGAGACTGAGCCAGGCAGTGCAAATCCAAAAAGAAGCGTGACACTGCTCAGCCCCCAGCCTGCCCGATTTTGGCAGGCAGCGGGGCACTCTCCTCACAGCGCCGACAGGCTGAACCAGGCGACGCAAATTCGAAAAGAAGCGCGCCGCTGCTCAGCCCCCAGCCTGCCTGATTTCAGCAGGCAGCAAGGTGCAAAGCTGGTGAGCTTCGCACTGCCCGGCTCAGCCTGTCGGCGCTGTGAGGAAAGTGCCCCGCTGCCTGCCGAAACCGGGCAAGCTGGGGGCTGGGTGGCGTTGCGCTTCTTTTCGGATTCGCACTGCCTGGCTCAGTCTCTCGACGCTGTGAGGAGAGTGCCTCACTGCCTGCCAAAACCAGGCAGGCTGGGGGCTGAACGGCATTGTGCAGGTAACGTCGACTCTCATGTTGCTCATGGCGTCCCCTCCCCCAAAGCCCACCAAGCCAGATATGTGAAGTAGGCGAGGGCAATGTGCTGGCCACTTCCAGGTGATGGTGCATTTCTTCAAATGAAGGGTGATACCTCCCCAGCTGCATTTCTTGCCTGTTTTTCTCCCTCATCTCAAATATTTTCCCACCACTCTGTTCTTAGGAAGGAAAGGAAGGAAGGAAGGAGAGGGAGGGAGGGTCTGAGGGAAGTCCTGCCCTGCTGCCCTTTCACCATCCCCTTGCCCCCTCCTCCTGGCCTATCCTGGGGGTCTCCCATCCTATTGCTAAGGAAGCTTTGGATACAAAGTCGGGTCTCCTCACATCGATAGGGAGTGGGCCTCCCTCTGACTTTGCCCTCATACCCATCATGAGCAACCTCACTAAGGAGAGTAAGCACAGCAGCAGCAGCAGCCTTGAGGAGGAGGTAAGTGCAGCTGGGCACCCCCTTGGGGTAGTGGGGCTGGGCTTGGTGCCGTGGGTGCTTGAGGGCCAGGCTGGGTGTTTGACCTCTGCTGCCCTGGGCTCTGGGAAGCCCGCGGCACCATCCAGCCCCCCCTCACATGGCCTGAGAGGAACAGTAAGGCTCTTCCAGTGGACCATGCCTTGGCACTTGCCCCGGTCCCACCCCCTTCTGCCAGAGACCCTCAAATCTGTCCCACTCCTACCTAGGCCCTCACAGGTACCCTTGACGCGAACCATGTAGAGCTGGCTATACCCATCCAGTAGACCACACCCACTCCAGCCACGCTCACCCAGTAGGCCACGCCTACTCTGGCCACACCTACCCACCCCCCCGAGGACAACCGCAATGCTGATGCGGCCCTCAATGAAATTGAGTTTGACACCCCTGACTTAAATAGACATAGTAATAAATATTGAATGACCCCACTGTTCATCATTCTGAATGTCTCAGTGATAGTGAACCTTTTGGGCTCAGCATGTCAAAAAATTGGAAAATGCCTAACTTGACTGTATTGGCATGTCACACTCCACCTTGAACAAAAGAGAAACGGTTCTCTATTTTCCCCCCTCCCCATTTAGGCCACTCTAAACAGCAGTATTTGATGGTAGTGTCGAGGCTGCACCTGAAGTAGAAGCCCAGGCCTAAACTTCAGCCCTAGTTCTACTGCTGTCACTTTGCGCCATTCCCCAAGATGTACAAGTGTTCGGGAATGGAACAATTGCCTCCTGTAGCCTAGTGCTCTCCAGGATCTGCTGCAGACCACTTCCTTCAGGCAGTGTTCCCTTTCTGTTGTTAGGCCGCTGCAGCCTACACAAGGTTGCTCTGAATTGCACAAAGCCTTTGTTCTTGAAGTGGCTTTGGATAATGCTCTTCCCCAGCCTTTGTAGCCTCCAAAATCTGAGCAAATGCACTCCCTATTCTCATATGATTTTCTGAGACTCTGGAGGCCACGAGAAGCATATCCAATTCTCATATGACCTCTGCAACCTCTGAAAATCGCACAAGAACAGGCGTGCTTTTGAGAATAGTTGTTGTCAAGCATTGATGTACACTGGCATGTCACCCAAAATCTCATGGTACTCAAAAACAATTGTTTGGAGGATTTAAGAATTTAGGCTGAGACTACAACTAGCTTAGAATTATTTCTGCCATGTAGTTGTTATAGATTTATTGGACAATGCTCTTTAAGATGGGGCACACAGTTTCTGTTTTTTGAGGATGCTGAGGGCCACAATCCAAAAATAAACCTACTGAGATAGTTAATGTACAGTTGCAATCATATCTTGATTGAGGTATCATGAAGCTTTCAGAGATCTGCTGTGAGAAGTTTGAAGACAAAGTTACCTAACCATGATGATATTGCTCAGTGCTTTTTAAAAAAAAAAAAAAGGTGCCGGAACTCACACACATTATACAACCCGCCTTGCCTACCCTACAAAGTTCCATCTAAAAAAGGTGCCGGAACTCCGTTCTGGGCGTTCTATGAGAAAAAAAGCCCTGATGTTGCTAGTATATAATCTATGATGGTTTCCAGAATATGTTCTAATCTGATTGTGGAGGATCAGTTGCAATTGATCAGGAGATTAAAGGAGTGTTTGGAGAAACACAGTTAACTACTAGGTTGTTTGATCTTTGTTCATCATAGGCTGTTAGCTCTCTAAAGTTAATTGATCAAATAGATTTAGAAAATAATGCTTACATTACAAGAGAAAGCTATTCCTACTGCCTTGAAAAATTCTCTTGCTATTTGAGAACTTTATAACTGTTAACCAATCTTTAATTTTTTTTCTTTTTTGGGCAAAGTCTTAGGGAAGTAGTGATTCGGTGCTGGAGAGTTTCAATAATTCAACATTAGGCACATTATCTTGGTTGAGTTATACAACATTTCACAGGGAAGTTGCATGCACAGCCTTTTATAGTTATGGCTTTGTGTATCAATAGTTTGGGATTACTTACTATTTAGCACTGTTACTTCGGGTGGTGGGACAGCAGGGCTTTAAAATACTGAGTTTTAGTTAGATCTTGGTGAACAGTAACTTGTATTTTATCTTTAATTTTTGCTGGTTTTGTTTTTGCAGTGAATTTTTTGAAAGAACAATTCTTTGTAATAGTCTTGTCTGGAGTTGTGCTATCACAGGCAAATCTGGACTTACCTATCAAGAAGCACTAGAATCGGAAAGGAAAGCCAGACAAAATATCCAAAACTTTCCAGAACCTCTCATTGTTCCAGTCTTATACTTAGTTACCCTCACTCAACGTTCACGACTTCATGAAGTTTGTGATGATATCTTTGCTTATATAAAAAACCGTTATTTTATTGGTGAACTTGTTGAAGTACTTAGGAATAATGGTGAAAGGTAAGCATATTTCATTTGTGCTACTCTGAATATATATAGAGAGAGATTTTTAATATGTAAAAAAAGCTGAAGCCAACAATACTTTTCATTACTTAAATTGCTAGTAAGTGACTTTAAACACCAAACATTTTATGTCCATTTTTGTTGTTGTTTCATTGGGAAGAGTTTGATTGTTTGTGTACCAGTTGTACAGATATTCTGTCTGTATAGAATAAATGAATTATATATCTAAATCAGTTACACTACCTGCAGTTGTAGGGCTATATAGGTAGTCCTTGCTGAACATCCATTCACTCAGCAACTATTCATTGTTACAGTGGTGCTTAATAAGAGGGACTGATAATGGGTCCTTGTAGTTGAACTGTTGCAATACCACGTGATCATGTGATTACAATTTGAGCACTTAGGGGTCAGCTCACAGTTACAACATTGTAGCATCCTACATCCTACAACGTCATACAGTCACTATTTGGGACCTTCACTGCCTATTTCTGACAAGCAAAGTCAATGGGGAAACTGACGGAAGTCACAGATGGTGATTGTGTGACCCTGGGATACTGTAACGGTGCGGAAGTTCCCTAATGATGGCCACTGAGACTGCCGTAACTGCCATTGTAAGTTGGTGTGGTCACATGATATTGTGCCTTACAACTGTATTGCTTAATGACAAAGTTCCCAGTCCCAACCACTGTCAGTGAGGACTACCTGATTGTGACTCTTTTGGTTATAGTTCCTATAAATTGTCCAGAAGTTGTTAGTTACAATTATTTAATTAAAAATATAATAATTTTAATAAATATATTAGAAATAATACTAATTCTGTTTAATTAATTTAAATATAAATTTGGCCATTATCTTGGATCTACCAGTTTATTTTCTGGTATTCATCATTCTTATATACCAAAGGACTAGTGCGGCACTCTCTTGAATGTGTTCTTTATGTTTTTGTGTTCTGTTCCTAACTGTATGGAGGCTGTTTGCCTTTGTTATCTTCACTCTTCTTATTACAGTTAGGAAATTCAAAGAATACAGTAGGTTTTAACTCTCTTGTTCACTCTGTGGACTAATTTATCCCTCTTTTTCTTAATGGAACATTGTCTATGTTAATGCTATCTCTGGTTATGCTAATCAAATTATTTCTGTTAACCAGAATTTGCAAATGCAGGTATGCTACCCCATGGTTTATATCAAGAACTTAAGATCTATATTTCAGCAATTAGAAATAAACACAGTATAATTAACCTGTTGATCAAATCAAAGTTTATTATTCAATCCCTAATAATGACCCCAGAGGTTCTCCTAAGAGATTCATAACAGATCCTCCATAATCAGGATATATGATCTATTGATATAGAAGCCATTTAGAAATTCGCTAGACAAGCCATGACTCGTTGAGTCACTTTTTCAGAAATCCTTACTTAAACAGAGAAACAGAATGACCACAAGTGGGCAAAATATTCAGTGGGAGCAAGAGCAATTTCCGATTTCCTGTTGGCTTCCTCATTGAATTTCCTTCTGGGAAGCCGACAGTGAGCATTGAAACTCTTTCTTTCTCCCTTTCTCCCTTCTTTCCTCTCTTTCTTCCTTTCCTGCCTCCCTTTTTCCTTCCTTCCTCCCTCTCTGCCTTCCTTCCTCTCTCCTTCCCTCGCACCCTCGCATCCTCCCACCCTCCCTTCTCTTTCTTTTCCTCCCTCCCTTTTTCTTTCTTCCTCCTTTTCTTCCTGTGAATGTTCTTTGTCACCATCTTTATTGAAACAGGCAGTACTTTGTTAATACAGGAGAATATTTAATAATTGTCTGTGGCTTGCAAGAAGATGGACCCCTTTTAATTGAATATTCTTCTGCTTTTTTTCCAGATTGCACTGTAAAATTTTGGAAATCAAAACACCAGTACATCAGAATGGAATGGCCAATGGCCATGCCAAAGGTGTTGATGGAGTTACTATTATCATTAGCGACAGTGATGATTCAGATTTAGATACCAGTTCTGCACAAAATGGGTAAAAACTTGTTTTATATTCAGAAGATGTGAAAATAGTTAAAAGGGCTACAACTAAACTACAATAACCACTATTTTTTTAGAAAACTTCTTCATATAACTCTATATAAATATCACAATACTTCAAAAAAAATGTTTTAATTAGTATTTCAAAGTTTAAAAATAGTACAAAATAATATATATTAAAAATTTCAAAAAAACCCTCCAAATGCAAAAATAGAAAGAACTCAAACATACATGCACAAGGTACATTTGTACATACATACACCACACATATATAGACAGTGTGGTTTTAAACCTATCAAGCCTCGTCCATATGGAATTGTCTTGATCACTTTTTCCATTTTGTCAGTTAAAAAAAAGTTTAAGAGCAGCAAACATATACTTTCAATCCAGGAATTTAAGTCTAGGTTAGTAGCTTCTATCTAACAAAGCAAAATCACTTTTTGCCTGTGCTTCAACTTGATAAATCCAAAAATAATTCATAAGATGATATGTTTAAAGTTGTCACTATTTTATTTATCTGTGCAACTTATCTAGAACCTGAAATTAACTAGACTCTAAGCAGCTTATGGAATGTATAGTATGAAGCATATACAAAATAAATTATAAATTTATGTATTCGATTTCAGCATTTCCTGACTGTAGATTGACTATGGATAGCTTTGTAATACAACAATCTATATTACAAAAGCAAGATTTAAAAAGCAATACACAGTAATTAATTAACAAGAACGGGAATGCCCCCAAACAACATAGAAAAATATATACAAAACACATCCAAGGGACCTATCCACCCTAGTTCATGACTCGGGAGAAGGTCATCCAGAACACCATCTAGGTTGGAGCCATATTGGGCAGAATCTAATTACAATAGATAGGTTGTGCTTTGTAGATCCAAATAGATGATACTGTTGAATGAAAGGGATCTAAGGCATGCCCACTTTGTTGGGCCTGTACTGGCCTTGCGGAAACCACAACAGAAAGACAGTCCCTGAGATAGTCTGGCCCTGTGCCATGTAGATCTTTATTGGGGATAACCAGCACCTTGGATCGCACATGGAAGCGTATTGGCAACCAGTATAGCTTGTGAAGCGGGCATAATGTGGGTATACTGAGGCAGACTCTCCCATTTCCTACATGCTTGCTTACAATGTAATTACATTCTGGGCCAGTCGAAGCTTCTGACTGGTCTTCAAGGGCAGCTCCTATAGGATACATTGCAGTAGTTGAATCTTGAGATGAGAAAAGTGTGCATGTTTCTCTGGAAGGGCAACCAGTGTACCAGAGGGAGATGTGCAATTATCTAACTGATAATTTAATGTATTAATTGATTTTTTAATAGTACTTGGTGTATAATTCATATCAAATTCAAATCTCTAAACTTTATTGTTCTTTGCTGAGAATGTTGACATTCAAAAGCTAAAGGGCAATCTATATTATATGTTTCTGTTTGCATTTTGTGGAACAAACTTGTAATGGACATAGTTTGGTTTGCTATGTTTGTACAGAACACAATCAAATACATGCAATTCAATTTCATTCTTTACTGAAATGTTAATTTCATATGACTGAGAATGTGCTTGTATGTTTTTTTTGTCTCAAGTATTTAAAATAATTTACATTGTAAATAGTAATATTTTTATTTCAAGAGAAAACAATAATGGTTTTAATTTTTAGGAATGAAAAAGCCATAACTGATCCTTTTTTGTACAAGTACAAAGTGAAGCCTTTAAAGAAACAACTATATGAGTCTGTTACAGTGAAAGCATCACAGATATGGTAAGCTGTACCGGTTATAATAACCCTGTGGTTGCAATCCAACTAGCAGAAATGAGAGAGGAGGACAAGGCACACCCTCTTTAAAGATGCCATTTTCTCTATATAGCTCTTTTTACCTTTTGAAAGAAACCTTGCAAAAAAAGGGAACAAGATTTGTATTCTTCCCTCTTCTGTTGATTGGTTCCTGTACTGAATCAAAACCCTACTATAAACTATTGTACCAAATTGGAAAGAGGCATTTATTTATTGCTCTTTCCTCACAAGTATTATTTCAAATCAAAACATTTAGCAATACAGTATGAAAACTATCTCTGCAGCTCTAAAATCTATTAATTTTTAGAGTTGCAGGGATGGTTTTGATACTGTATTACTAAACATTTAGAGCTAAACATTTTGATTTGAAATAATACTTGTGTGGAAATAGCAATAAATAAATTGCTCATTCACTTTCTATAAGATGACTTTTTGTATAGTGCATCTTTAGTACTCTGCATGATGTCCATGGATGCTACCAACTATCCCTTCATTTCATTAGACTAACCTTTAATGTTTCAAATACTAAGTTTTAAAAAAAATTATTGAAAGGCAAACTGCCAGTCTTCAGTATGTCTTATATTTCCAAATATTTTTTCTGGACCCCAAAATAATCCCATGTGTATTTTTAAAAATAAAAATGGAAGGTGATTCTACCCCAATGATTTTTAGTATGAAGTATGCTCAGAAAAAGTGACAATGACCTACGATATTTATGTATACGAGAAAGGAAGGAAGGAAGGAAGGAAGGAAGGAAGGAAGGAAGAAAGAAAGAAAGAAAGAAAGAAAGAAAGAAAGAAAGAAAGAAAGAAAGAAAGAAAGAAAGAAAGAAAGAAAGAAAGAAAGAAAGAAAGAAAGAAAGAAAGAAAGCTAAAAAAGAGAATGATCATCATAAAAAGATTAGAGAAGATGCATGTTCCAGGAAATTGTTTTTTAACTGGCCATCCTACCCTTCATAATCAATGGCCGGCTATCTTGTGATTCTGTGATAGCCCTTAAAATTTAGAATATATACACTGACTCAAAAGGCATAGAATTCATGGATAATATTGCTATTCTGTGATTGCAATTTTAATGAAAAAAGAACAAAGCTTCCATATATTTTTGTGAAAAAAATCACAAGGGTACTTATTTTATTTTTTATAATTTTTTTATAAATTAAAATTGTCAGAAGTTGTTTAAGCTGTAATTTCTGTATATCAATTTCATTGGTAATGGTAAGACTTTTAACAGTTCTTTTTTTTTTAACAGCCGAAGAAAGCATATTTTTTCTTATGACAGACTAAAGCTTTTTTTGAAGCAACACTGTGAATTACATGATGGCATTATTAAAATTAAGGTAATCCTAGCAATTTAACTTTAAGATAGTGAATGAAAATATATGCTTCATATAATTATAATGAATTTATCTCAAACTGAACAAATGTTTTGAATATGTTTGTCTATATTAAACTGGGCAATCTTAGTAAAAGTATGATCTTGTATTGTCCTTACAATTATATTTGTTTGTTAGGAAATATTTAGCTCTTAATAGCTTTATTTACAACTTTAAAATGAAGACTGTCCTTTATCAACTAGTTAACTGTGCAGTTTTACTTTTTTCCATTAATCTTGATATATTATAATCATTTTTATTTTTATATGATAGTTTATTTGATATTTTAAGACTATCAAATACACTCATAAATATTTTAACATTTTCTTGAAGTTATGCCTAGACATATTTATTATCTTTGAGATAAAGCATTATTTCTCTGTGTCTTTACTAAAACAGATTGTTAGCAATAATAAATGTTAATGCATAATAAATTTTATTTTGGTGGATGAAGAATGATAAGCACCTTTCATATCTAGTCTTTTTAATGTTCTAAATCAGGGGTGCCAATTTTATTGAGGGCCACATCAGCATTCTGGTTGCCCTAAAAGGGCCAGTTGGGCCTGGCTGGGTGGGCATGGCCAGCTCAATGTGGCCAGCTTGATATTGTTCACGTCGAGGGGGACCTGTGCTGTGCTGCGCTGCGCTGTGGGGTCCTGCTGCCCTCAGAGTTCGAGAGCTGGGTTGGGTGCTTGCCCTCCACTGCCCAGGGTTCCAGGCAGCCCAGAGGACCATCAACACTAATTGGGCACCCGAATCCTCCTCCAGGCAGGTCTGTGCCTGGCCTCCTATCTTCTTGGGCCAGGGTGTTCCGTCAGTCCTGCACCCCAGGGCGCAGGGCGCAGCCGTCCTTGTGCATGTGCCGGGGGCGCCCAGCTGGGTTGAGGTGGGCTGGGGCAGCGGGGGCCGGTCCCTCACCCGGGTGGGTCATATCTGGGCCCATTGTGGGCCACATGCACCCGTGGGCCTGGTGTTTGACATGTCTATTTTAAATATTGGATTTCATAATTTATAGATTTAAGACATTGGCATATATTGTCCTTTCAAAAGGTAATCAATCAATTTGACAAACAAGCCTTTTATTTCAGTAGTATTTATTCAAGAATGACTCTGTTAAGTTTAAATCAGGATAATGCCTATTTGACTTCCAAAACAAAAAATAACAATCTTTTTAAGGAGTGACCAAAATCTTGTGATGTAACCAAATCTCATAGGAATTGTGTTCTGAGCTGAGATAACTATGAGATTTTAATATGTTGTTGTATATAACTTTTTTTATAATATGATATTTGGGCACATGAATGCCATTTTAAAAAGTTGTTGGTTAGTGCTATAGAAAAATTAAAAAAGAGGGAAGAAATGTTATTGTTGTTACAAATATAGCTAGTCCTCTACTTACAATCACAATAGGGACTTATCACAATAGGAATTTTAGTCCTATGTTATTGCAGTTGTATGTCGAAGCACCCATGTGATCAGACCCAATGTTTTGTCCGTTTTTTTCAGTGGTTGTTAAGCAAATCCCACGATAGTAAGTCCAAATCATGCAGTTCTTAAATGAATCATTTGGTCATTAAGCAAATCCATTACCCCAAATAGAATTTTTTTGCTGGAAACCAAAGGCAAATCTAGTCATGTGCCCACAAAATGCCATAACCAGTCATAAATGCAAGCCTGTTGTCAAGCACCCAAAATGTAGTCATGTCTCCATGGGGGACATGCAGCACAACATTTTACGATGGCTGGAAGTGCTTTATGGGCCATTAAGCACCCTTTCTGAGGTTATTGTAACTTAAAATGGTTGTTAAATAACCAGTCATAAGTCAAGGACTATCTGTAATTGATATTTGACCTCTGAAGAAAGGCTAGTTTAACCTTATTTGTCCATACAAATAAAGACTATTTGGAATAGCCAAACAATGTTTGTTCTCCCTTCTTGATTCTTCAGGATAGCTGTGATTCTCTCTTATTTCGTTTACCCCCAGATGTAGGCATCTCATTCCAGTGGTGTGAACTAGAAAAAAAAAGTTTATTTCTAGTCCTAAAACACTCACTGATTTATCACTTGTACATAACATACCTGTTGACTCTTGTTTCCTCACATTTCTTTCCTAAGGCAATATCAATTGCAAAATACAAGATAGCAGAACAGACTTTTTTCTATCTCTTTCCTGATAATCCACCCATCTTTATGTTCAGCTCTTCAAGTAAACAAAAAAGATCTTCAAAGCTGACATCTGATGATCATGTAAGTCAGACAATAACCTTCTGCAACTATTCCTCTATCAGCAAGCATGCTATAATGCATTCAGCATTTGGTTGGCTTATAAAGGGATGCTGGAAGTATAATTTATTTATATGGCCATCCTCAAATCTACATTAAAATCTCAAAAGTAATGAAATAAATACACATCATAGCTAATATCTATTAACTTTTCTACAAATTTCATTCTATTCCAACCATTTCCAACCTGGTCCCCTTAAAATATATTTGATTACCACCATCAGCTTCAGTCACTATGCATGATGGTCATGAGAGATTAGTATAGAGGCTTTATTAAAACATGGCTGGAGTGCATTAGATTAGGGAATGTCCAGTGCCACCAACTTTATATGCATTTCATATGTACAATTCCTTGCTGACTTGGTGTTTACTTGTACTTAAAAGGCAATTGGTACAAGATGTTCTATTGCTGATACACTGCTCTAGTCTTGATTGCTAAAATGAGTAATTCCTTTTCCATGATATGCTGGAAATGTAATGGACAGATTGGCTCCTTCTTCCATTTGTGGTGGCAACATTGCAAAGTTCAAAAATAATGAAAAATAAAATTTGAAAGTTCTAGTCCCATTTTATTTTGAGATTTTTTATTAAATTTCACTAAACTATATACATTTTATTCAAAATAAACTGGAACGGCATATGTTAACAGCTGCATGGATTTGATATGCTCTTCATCAGAAAAGACCTTTGATCTCCTGTGTGGTAGAATGGCTAACCAAATTGTGGGACTAAGCTTCAGTGTCTAAAAAACCTTTTTTTAAATATGAAAAGTAAATCTGATGCAGAATTCAATTCTCTTTAGAAATCATTTTTGGACTACATTTGCACATGGAACTGTGCCACATCAAAAATTTAATTTTAGAGTTTATATTTTAATTTGACATAGAAGCTACATATGATTTACAGTATTTTCTCAATGTATTGATAATCTGTACACTTTTTTCCTTTCTCCTATTGACTCCAGTTGTCTTAACCAAGTATTTTTAAGGTTTCAGTTGTCTTAACCAAGTATTTTTAAGGTTTATGTGATTAGAAATTGAATATGAAATGTCTTATAGCACTTTAAGCTTTTAAGAATATATTAGAATATATTATCCATATGATATTTTAGATTTGTTGGTTATCCAACTGTATTTGATTATTCAGATTGAGGTTCTTTAATAAAGTATGCCATCTATTTTATATGATTTTAAACTTGTATTAATATTTTCATTTATTCTTTGAAACTGAGAAGAGGCAGGAGCTATGCTTATAGATAGTTCAGGAATTGCACCTAGGTTTCCCAGATATAGGCAGAACAAATGGAGGACTAATTAGAATTCATACTTTCATATACAGCCAGTTTGGTCTAATGGTTAAGGCAATAGGTTAGAAAGTGGGAGATTGTGAGTTCTGGTCCCACCTTAGCCATGAAAAGCCAGCTGGATGACCTTGGGCCAATCACTCACTCTCTGCCCAACTCACCTCACAGGGTTGTTGCTATGAAGAAAATAGGAGGAGGAAGGTATGTTGGATACATTTGCTGCCTTTAGTTATTTGAAAAAATAAAGCTGGAAAATAAATAAATAAATAAATAAATAAATAAATAAATAAATAAATAAATAAATAAATGAAAAGGGGCATAGGGGGTAAACCAAATCTTGTTGTCATTTCTCAAAAAAACCCTTTGACTTTGCAAAACATTTCATTCATGATTAAAAATAGAACAAGTCTTCACTTGTAAAGTGCTTTTAATACTCAGAGTTTGAATATTTTTCTACTTTATGAAGTTTGTTTTTGCTCCTAGGAGGACAAAGATGCTGAAAAACACCTTAGTCCTAGAAATCTAAGCAACACAGCAAAAGAAAGGGTAAAACTCCAAAAAGAAAAAGAGCATATGAGAACCAGCGGTAAGTTCAACCAGTAATTGTAATTGTGGGTGGGCCTGAAGTTTGTTCATGTGACCACATTATTGCAACAGCTGGAACTTTGAGGAGCAGTTGTAGGACCTGTTGTTCAACATTTGTTGTAACTTCACTGACCATATGGTCATTAAGCAAGGAATACTTGTAAATCAAAGTCAGGTTGTTGTAACCTTCCAATTCCAATTCTTGTTGGTAACAACTGGAATTCTCTAATTTCATTTTCTCCCACTAGAGATTTTTATAAACAAGGAATATCTTTGAAAGTATCTTGGATGTTGATATCTCTATTGCACAGAATTTCAGTAAAGTCCTTCCATCTTTGATCTTCTTTTAATTAATTACTATCTGTTCTTTAACTTTCAACCAATTCTTTAGCATTCGGCTGTTCAGGATTAGAATCTCCTTCTGAATTCAGAGATTTGTAAAATACTTTTCTTGTTTTTTTGTGTCTGTATCCATCTTTAGTGTCTTTACAGGTACTGCAATATTACTTTTTGTTTCTTGTAAGAACTCCCTGAAATGCTTTAACTTTCTTATTCAGATCTCGCCTTTTTTGTAGGTTTGGCATTTTTAAAATTTCCATGGTATGTTCTGATATCTAATTTTCTTTCTTCTCTTTCTTAATCTTTGGCTATCTCTTTTTATATTCTTCCTTAACTAGTTATTTAGGTTTCTTTCATAGTTCCTCTGGATCCCAATGAATAAGATTCAGGGCTTCAAAATAATTCCTGTTTTCTTCTTCAAAATAGTAGTATATGGTTAGGATCATATCATGGAATGTGTTTTTCTTCTTACATTTTAGCTTAACTTTGAACTTGCATAGGAGAAATTTATGATCTGTTCTACAATCAACCTCTTTGCTATTATAACTGATTTCTTCCACCTCCTTGTGCCAATAACATAGTCAGTTTGATTTATGTATATTCTGGCTATACAATCTAACTGCATTTTCCTTTAAATACTTCAAACTTTGCCATTCCTATCTCCAACTACAAGCAATACATTTTGCTTCCGTGTTCAGTTGATTTCATATTGAACTTGATCAGTTTCTTTTTCCTACCTGAGTGGCTGGAGCATAAGTTTGGAATAATTGTCATGTTAAAGCAGCGGTCTCCAGCCTTTCTAGCTTTGAGGACCGGGGTGGGGAAGAAGGGATATTTTCTTGTGAGTGGTGAGCAAGAATGCACCTCTGCTGCTCGCACAAATGGAGCTGCATGCACTCATCTGCCCACTGCACACGCAAGTGGAGCTGTATGCGTGCGTTTGCCCTCTGCTTCTGCGGCCCAGTTCTGAACGGGCCGTGGCCTGGTGGCCTTGGCCCGGGGGTTGGGGACTTCTGTGTTAAAGGTTGTTCCTGAAATCTAATTGATATTATATTTAGTCATTGATTACATTGTAGCCAAGTATTACTCTTGCTATTGCCTTCCTAACTATGAAAGCAGTGCCATTCCTTCTTCGTCCCTTATGCCCTGAGTTGCAAATAGTATGACCTTCTGACTGAAAGTGTCCAATTCCATTCTATCAGAATTTGCTGAGGCCTAAGATGTCATTGTATAGTTGATTCATTTTGCATTTTGTTGAGTTTCCCATGTTTATGCATTTTATATTCCATGTTCCCTTGTAATTTTAATTTTTCATTTTGGGATTTTCTTTTCCTTCATGTGAGTAACAGCAACTGGAAGTTTCAAAGCCTTTTTTTTTAATTTGATGGTCCATTATCTGTCCTAAAGTGAAGTTCTGCCTCTAGCATCTTCCTATATTATTGCTGCCCAATATAGGTGCCCGCTGCTTTTAGTGAGTCGATCTTCATGCTTTGGGTATCTCTGCTGGGAGTATATACTTTAGGTTAAACGTCCAGCATCTTTTCTATAATCGCTCTCAGGAAGACCCCATGTATGCTATAATGGAGCTGCAAAGTTGGAAATGTACTCATTAATAAAAAAATGTACTCATTTAATACTGTATATTTACTAATAAAGGAGGACAAAGATACAGAGTTTCCAATATTCTTTAACCTAACCTAACCTTTTTCATATTGCAAGAAAATTTCCTTTGCTGAACTTGTGAGAACTTGATTGGGAGCTTCACAAACCTTTTATCATTTGTTTTGAATTATATTAATTTAATGCCCAATTTGTTGATTAAAAAATTATAAAATACTTTTGTTCAATACTTTATCTTGATGTATCTATAAAATGTAGTTCTAATTCCAATTCACCAGTATATATTTTGAAATAGAAAAATTAAAAAGGGAGAAAGCAAATGCTGTGAAATTCAAGAGAAAAGAGAAACAAGACAAAGAAAAAAGAAAAGAAGAACTAAAGAAGCTTGTGGAGGAAGAAAGACTAAAGAAAAAAGAAGAGAAGGAGCGACTGAAAATAGAAAAAGAAAAGGCATGACATTTTTATTAACCCTAGATTTGAAGTGGCAGTGTCAATCACATTTGTAGCTTTATTTGGTATTTTCTCATTGAAATTGTTAAAACTTGACACCTTGGAGAAAGAACAAGTGTTATGGGTTTTTTGAGATAAATGACATTGTGAAGTAAAAGGCTTTTGCAAGCTACTTCAAATCTAAGTAGCAAATATTTTGGGCAGATTCTTCCCTGAAAGATGATAACATGTCCTAAACTGCTGATATTATTTAATTTTGCTAATTTTTAGTTACATTGGTAGTTCTATATGTACTAGGTAACAAATAGTTTATACTATACTTTGATCAGAAACAAGATTTACTTTGTGGCAATTAAAACTTGTATAAAAACAGTTTCATTTGTAGTTTTTAATTGTTAATTCCTACAGTAAAAGTTTGGAAGAAATGTGCCTTTTATTCATACAGTAGTGAAGTTCTGGGAGACTTCATCAAAACAAAAGAACACTCTATTAAAAAACAGCAGGATTTATGGTATAACAGTAAATTTAATAATACCCTAAATATTTGAGATTTAAAGACTGTTGTTCTAATCTTTTCTATTAATTTTGAGTTTAATAATTAAAATGAAAATGATGAAGTGAAGTGAGAAAACCATTTCCTGATCAAATTTCTATGTAATTAAAGGAAAGAGAGAAACTACGTGAGGAAAAAAAGAAATATCTGGAACACCTAAAACAGTGGAGTAAGCGCAGAGAAGACATGGAATGTGATGATCTTAAGGTAATGTAAAATTGGAAGCTGATAACTTTCTGTAACATGTATTAGCCTATGCTAATTATGTGTTTAATTTCAAACCTGCCAAATCAGTAAACTTGGACCTGGCATGTTAAATATACGATGCCAGAAATGTTTTGAAAATACACCCATCTCTTCATTCTAGTCATGAAATGGGCAGAATTTTTTTTTTTCTGTTAAAATCTTCATTCCTTCTTTACTCCATGGTGAACAGAATTAAAGCAAGGAGTGGTAGCTAGGACCAAAGGCAAAAAACCCCCTTTTTATGTTACTCCTTTTTCCATTTTCCTAAGGATCAGGGTAAGTAATTTTTATCTATGGTCTGAACTCATCCCTTGCAGAAGTAAGGGGAGAGTTGAAATTACACTAGGTTTTGATAAGAGTATTTACAGTATTGGTGAGGTAACTTGTTTACAGATAATCCTTAGAAAATTACAGTAATTGGGACTGGAATTTCCCTTGCTAGGCAACAATCATAAAACATGACATCATATGACCACACCACTTTGTAATGGAATTTTCAGCATTTCCAGTTGTGGTTGTTAAGTGAAGATATCATGTGATAGCCACTTGTGACCACCTGCCAGTTTACCTATTGGTTGATTGTAGGAATCTGGCAAAGATAATCACAAATGACAATCACATGACTGTGGAGAATGCTACAATCAAAGTAATTAATGAGCAGGCATAAGTAAAACTCATTCAGCATTATTGTTAGTTTGAACAGTTGCTGAACAAGTGGTCATTAAACAAGGATCACATGTAGTTCCAGACATCCAGTATGGTACCTTGCAAGCAGAAGTGCTTTTTGACCAGGAAAGACAATACATAGTGCCTCTATCTTACAAACAAAAACTATTTGTGTGGAGGGAAGAATATCTCTGAGTGCAGAAAAGTGTTAGACAGGATTCTTGGGGATAAGGAATAGTATACACATGCAACAGTGGAACTGTAGATGGTAGACTTTTCCCTTTACTTTATTTGCCTGCTGTTTTATATCATTGTGTTTGTCTCTGCTTCTTTATGCTTTCCCCAGTACATTCTGTCCACTTGCTGCTTTCCTATCTGCATTAAACTGTAGTTTCCTATTTTCTTCCTTAATATCTCTACCACTTTTCTGCTTTTGGGCCCTTTCTCTGTTCCCTCTTCTTTTTTATAATCTACCTGCTCTTTATATTCACTTTCCTCAACTAGTTTTTTCCAATCCATCTGCACTGATGTCTCCTATATGTTCTTCTTTAATTCCCATTGAAGTCTGAGTCTCCCCCACATCTATTCATCAGTTACTAAAATGTTGTAATTTCTCCTTCCAAAAAGAAGCTCTGAAAAAATATTTAAATGAAGTTGTGAAACTGACACTTTACTCAATGTCTAAGCTGCCTGACTGACAGGCCTTACTCTTTTGAAACAGCTGAAAGAAGCAACTTCGTAGTGTCATAGTGCTCTCTACTGGTGAAGAAAAGAGTATCAGACAGTTCTTGTTCTTGATTGTTATTTTTTGAGCCAAGTTAGAATATTGCTTTTATAATCCACTTCAATAAAATAAAAATAAGATAAATAGGAAATAAAAGTGATTGTTTTACTTCTGGTCTATAGACTTTAACATGCTTTGCAAAACGTAGCTAGCAACAGAGTCCATTGAAGTTATTCTTATGGTAGATGCAGATCAATATATTATCATTGTGTTTGAATTCTAATCTGTGTTATAATGCAGTGCCATATTGTAAAGTATCAATTCTCTAAAGTTCCTGACACCAACATTTCTTTGTTTGGAATTCATTAGTGTGTCCAACACAAGAAGAGATAAAAGGTTTAATTCTAAGCCTCCTACTTAATTATGGAATTTGGTTTTTGTGTTTGTAATATGTAAATGTTGCTCATTTACGCATATTTTATGTTTTATTTTACAGCATTCATTTTGTCAGTGTGGCCATTTCCCCCCCTCCCATGGAAGTGCATTGGAAATTCCAACATCAGTGGTAGCATTACTATTGCTTAAAAGGTGCTAGGCCACTTTGTAAATCAGGAATGAGCATCCTGCACCCTCATAAAAAATGAAACTCATGAAGCTGCACAATATCTCATTTGTGATCTTCAAGATCCCCAAGTATAGATAGGATTCTGAAATTTTAGATAGGTTTCTGCTAAGAAAAGTGTAAGATATATTGAATTTTCAGGGACTTAAGGCATTCATTTTCACCTATTAACTTCTCCCTATCAGACTGACTTTCCGTTTTGCCTCTTAACCTTCCTTCCTCACAAAGGAGGTTGAAAATTTCAATTTCATTTTATCAGCTAATTTTGTAATTTCTCTGGGCCCATTCCATTTCAATGCAGAATGTGCTTCCCAGCCCCAAAAGGTTTGCCTTCATAATATGTGAAATCTTTTCCTGTGTCATCTTTCTCTGTGTGATTTTTTTGTTTCAATCTCAGTGTTTAAAAAAACCATGAGAAATGCTGCTTGTTATTTAAAAATACTATTATTAAGTAAGCAAGAAATGCCAACCCAATGAAAAAGAGAAAAGAAGTTAAAAAAATATTCCTAGCCTTGGAAATTCACAGGAATAATAAAGAGTTGTAATCTGGGGGTTTTGACAGTTTTACCTGGACTTTGGGTGGGGGAGATTGTTACAATGGGCAGGCATGACAGTAGAGAAGGTAGGCCACATTAGATGACAAAGCCTTGAAGTCAGGATCTGAAGGATATCTGTTGAATCTGTGTAGTCTACAGCAGGGCTTTTCAACCGGTGGTACTTTAGCACCTGGCAGGTGGTACGTGACCCCTAGCCAAGTGTAGCGGGGGAGGGAATGAGCTAAAGCAGCACCGCACAGGCCTGGAGGAGATCAGCTGGAGCTGCAGGGCTCAGCAGAAGCCCCAGGATCTGCTCACATGGCTACATGCTGATTGGAGCTTCTGGCGCACCCGGAAGAGAAGAGGAGGGCGGAGAGAGGAGAAACTATAAAAGGAGCAGGTTTTAGCGGGAGAGGGAGAGAAAAAAAACAGAGATAGAAGAGAAGAGGCTTTTGTTAGTGAAACGGTGAGTGAGAGAGCAAGCGAGGGGCTTTTGCGAGCAAAGAGTGAGTGAGAGAGCGAGGGGCTTTTTGGAGAAAGTGAGAGAGCGAGTGAGCGGCCTTTGCGAGCAAAGTGAATGAGTGAAAGAGGAAGTGAGCTTTTGTGAGCAAAGTGAGTGAAAGAGCAAGTGAGGGGCTTTTGTGAGCAAAGTGTGAGTGAGTGAAAGAGCGAGTGAGGGGCTTTTCGGAACAAAGTTTGAGTGAGCTAGCGGCCTTTGCGAGCAAAGTGTGAGTGAGTGAAAGAGCGAGCAAGGGGCTTTTGCGAGCAAAGTGAGTGAGAGAGAGAGCGAGGGGCTTTTGCGAGCAAAGAGCGAGGGGAGATTTTGCGAGCGAAGGATGAGAGAAAAAGGGAAAAGTGAGGGGGAGAAGGGAAAAAGAAAAGGCATTGACTTCTGACTTCCTCTGTTGCAGTAGAAGGAAGCATTAACATTGAACTTCAACTTTTTACTTTTCCATAATATTATAAACTAGCCATTTCTATAACAACAAAAGTGATACAATCTGTGAAAAGGTTGAAAAGCCCTGGTCTACAGGATGGGTGGGAAAAATAGACATAGGCAATCCTACAAATAGTCCAGCCCTGTACCATGTAGGGCTTTATAAGTGATACTTCGAATTGCATTAAAGGTCTAATGAGAATTAGTGCAGTTTGCAGACATACCAAAGTATGTTTTAATCTTTATTACGATGACCAAGGCCAGCAAAGTCCAAGTATGTCTGTTGCTACCCATAGTTCTGCATTTGGGACCCATTGCAGCTTCAAGATGATTTTCAAAGGCAATCCTCACGTAGAGTGCATTGAAGAAATCCAACCAGGAGGTGGCCAAAGAGTGACTAACTATGATTAGAGCCTTCAATTCAGAACAGTTTAATTGGCACATGAGATAGAGTTGTACAAATGCCCTCTCGTCCATGGCTGCCATCTGGTATTCAACTACAGATAATAAAAGTTTCTTGTGGGAAACAGTTCTCACAAGATTAGAAGCAAAGAGCCTGAAACTAGATGATCCTATAACAAAACAAGGTCAGAAGTAAAAACTGTCATTCCTGACAAAAGAGAATTGTTTAACTCCATTACACAAGGTAGATATGAGAAAAAGATTCAAAAATTTAAACTATGATTTCACTATAAATACTGTAGGACTCAAATTTAATACATAGCAGTTATGGAAGTTCTTTTCTAAAGGCTTCATTAACTTTTGTAGTATAAACATTACTTCTAGTTCTTACTCCCACCTTAACCATGAAAATCAGCTGGGTAACTTTGGGCCAGTCAGTCATTCTCAGTCTAATCCACCACAAAGGGTTGTTGGAAAACAGGAGGAGGAAAAAGTCTTAAGTATATTCGCCAGCTTGAGTTATTTATAAAAACAACGAAGGTAGGATTTAAAAAGCCTAATAAATAAATAAGAAGTGCGTTCTTGACAGTTTGTGATGTCCTCTTCCAGTCTGGCATTGTCAAAAAAAAAGCTGACATTTCATTTGTATCACAGGAACTTCCAGTTCCAACTCCAGTAAAAACCAGACTACCTCCTGAGATTTTTGGTGATGCTGTAATGGTTTTGGAGTTCCTCCATGCATTTGGGGAACTATTTGATCTTCAAGATGAATTTCCTGATGGGGTGACTTTAGGCAAGTTTTTTTTTTCTTGGATTTTGTTCTGAATTAAGGTATATACTATGTTTCTGATATCTAGCCATTTATAAACACATTATAAAATCTCAAAGTTTTACTTACATTTAAAGCAAATTCCCATATGTGAGTTAGCTATCAGTTTGAAAAATATATTTCTTCAGTGTACATCAGATTATATGTAAAAATATTCCTCTGAGCAGAATATATAGTGCTTCCAAAAATGCCATTTGATATGTTGATGAAGAATCTCTGTCATCCAAATAGAGTTGTCTGGAAGCTGAGTCATGCTCTTTTTTGTTTGTTTGTTTTAAACATTTTGTTGCTTATCCAAGTCACTTCTTCAGTCTGAGCAAAGTTAATTAGGGGGAACCCCATATATGTCCTTCAGAGTAGTATCATTTCTTATCTAATCTGAATAGGCTCATTAATGAGCAGCCAAATAGCCATTAAGAATGATTGTTCAGTTTGAGAGAAGAGTGAAGGAATCCATTTATGCCAAGTGGAAATTCCTTCCCTTAATAGAAGTGGAGGCCTGAAACACAACCTGTTTCTGATTTTTTATGCTGCTCTTGCATCATCCCCCAGGAAGATCAAGACCACTTCATAGTTCACCAGGAAGATCATATTTAAGGACCTATCTAGAAAAAAGGATTTAGAAACAATGACTCTTAACAACTCTTTCTCTTTCTTTGCTAAAAAGAAATATGCAAGGAGCATATCACCTACTTAGAAACAGCTTTTTCCCCATTTTAGTAGATTAATTTGAAGTGAATAGGGAGAATAGCTCTGGACCAGTTTGGGACATCCAGTTATTTTTTCCCCCAGTATTTTATTCAATCCATCCTTTATTATATGAACGTTACTTATCAATAGTCTAGCAAGATCTTGACATTTGTATGTTCTCTTTCATTTGCCTAAATGCCCCTTTTCAATTCAATATGGGAATCACCTGAACACGTTAACCAGTTGGATTCTGCACATCTAAAATTGCACGTTAGAGAATAAAATAGGAAGATTTCTCAAGCTAAGGTTCAGATCTAACTGCATCTTTTAAGCTTTTATATTTGGATGCTGCAGAAGAACTAAAGGTTCTTTCTTTTATTATTTACAGAAGTTTTAGAAGAAGCTCTTGTAGGAAATGACAGTGAAGGCCCACTTTGTGAATTATTGTTTTTTTTCCTGACTGCAATTTTTCAAGCTATGGCTGAAGAAGAAGAAGAAATTGCCAAAGATCAAATAGCAGATGCTGAGACCAAAGGTCAGATCAACTATACTTTTTAAGAACAGCTTTCATACTAATCTGCATTCACGCAATATGTTTTTTTTTCAATTAACTTTGCTTTGCTATACAACTGGTAAGAAAAGACAATGTTTTGGATATAAGCTGCAGTGATGATCCAGATGTATTTTTACTTTTCTCTTTCTAAAAGGGCAGAGATTCCATTTATTGTATCTCAAGAATTTCAAACTGGTATGTTTTTCCAAAATTCAAAATTGTGTTTGCTTATTTTAATTTTAAAACAATGTCAGCAGTAGAAGCTTATTTTATTGAATTTCTGCAGATGTGGTCTTCTTCTTGTGGGTGAGGTAAATAATTTCTAGTAAAGTAGTTGCATGAGCTTCCAGGTTTGCTATAGACTGTTAGAATTTTGATTATGTGACCATAGGGGCATTGTAACAGCCATAAATTCAAGGACTGGTCAGGACTATCATTCATTCAGTGCTGTTATAACATTTGAACAGTTGCTGAAGGATTGATTGTTAAGGAAGAAAGGGCTGCCTATATGCCTCCTCTAACCCAAACCAAAACAGCCTTGGAGGACAATGCCCAGTGACTGGAGGGGAGGGATATGCACACAACAGCCCAAAGTAGCTAGTGGTTGGATCAGATCATAGGCCTTGATTATGTAATTTTCAATGAGGCAGGCATTGTAGAAAATTTACATGGTAGGATTTGTATTGGGAGAAGAGGGGAAAACACTACTTTAAAAGTAGAACAACTAAAGACAATTTAAGATAGCCGTGATAGACTGGGGACAAAACTAAGGCTATCTCCAGAAGACATGTCATCTGAAAAATAGGACATTTTGCTGGACAGACATCTGGAGATACATTTATTTGGAATCCAGCATTGAGCAGGGAATTTAACTCCTTCCAATTCTGTTATTCTTTGTCCTAGGAAATTTTCTGTATTCTGTTTTAATAGTGCAGATCCAGGCAAAGAGGAGTAAAATAGCTTTGCTATATTATGTGGCTGAATTGAAGCCCCTACTGTTCAAAGTTTTGTAGGCTTTTTAAAGAATAAAAATGTGAGGAGAAATACTTCATATTAATACTGTTTTCCAAAAGAAAATGCAGCCTCCCAAGTCCTACGTATTTTTTTTCCCCATAAGGAGAACAATTTCTAAGCAGATTAGTATTATCTATGGGTAAAAAATTTCCAAAACTGCTGTCAGAAGAATTAATGGTAGAATTTTTCTGTTTTGTCTGGACTAAATTATTGTATAAATTATTATTTCGTTATTATTATGGATAATAATTGTCAAATCAGAAATGAATAATTTTATAAGATGTGATATAAAAAAAACAGAAATGGGTAACATCTGCATTAATAATACCACCTCCAAAATAGTATTTTTTAGAGAAATATATAATTGGAGAAATTTCTCCAGTGCAATATTTTGCGAATCATCATGAAACATTGCCAATCCAGCTCAACCAGCCTTTCCTGAAGAGTTAACAGAGATGCATTCCCAGCAAAGGCAACCAAAACAATAGCACCCATAAAACTGAATTTTAGATGGCACTTCATTTAAAGATCAAGAATCAAGAATGGTATGCTAAGCACTGGCCAAAAATTACTCAGCATGAAAGAATTCAAACAGGACTTTTTACACAAACCACATTATCATAGTTATAATGGGCCAGATAGAACAAGTCTGTCTTACATGTATTGACTAGTTCGCTGATTTTCTGGCCAGTTCTCTCTCAATTCTTTTATAAGATAAAAATGATAAAGGACAAAGCAGATAGACCTCATTTCCTGAGAATCTTGTCTCTATGTACCAGCATTACAAATTGAAAAATGGTTCATTCTGAAAATCAGATATTAAATTTACAAACATTTGATCTACTCAGATTATGGCATTCAAGTTAGAATAGATATAAATAATTTCATCTGTAAAAAGATTTTGCAAAGTAGTTGTAGTGGTTTGCACTGTAATATATTACATTTGATTAGGCTGCTTACACATGAATAAAAACTAAACTGCTAAAGCATTTTGTACAACTATTATGTAAGGAAGATTACATTCAATTTTATTTGGCAAAGGTAACTTAGTTCTATTTTGTGGAGAAGATTTAAGTTCTGTTTGTAGGCTATCATTCAGTGTTAACAGTTGGAAAGATAAACAAGTACATCACAAATAGGAAATGTATTAGGTTTTGCTTTCTGCAGAAGCAAAACTAGATACATTTAGTTCTAATACTTGCAGAAAAAAGAGGAAATTCACTTGCCATTGCTTAATATGTAAAGAGATTGTACTTGCACGTTAATTCAAAATGCCTGATGTGCTTTAGAGGTAGCTTAATTGGGAGCATGTTTTGCCAATTATATGGAATAAAGGACCTCTTCAGTATGGCAGATCAGCATTGACTGCTGCCTATTTATCTCAATTTGTTTGGCAATAGGTAACAATTATAAGGAATGGAGTGATAGCTTGTGTTAAAAGTCTTTGCATGAGTGTGTTTGTACTCTTGCAGCCCAATTGTGCGTAAGAAACGTTTAGTGAGTGTTGCACACTTTCTTCAGCTGTTTGCCAATATTACATTTCTTTGTTGCATTGCAACTTACATGAATATTGAATTTGTGTGCTGTTTCTGCATTGCTTAAAATGGCTTGCTTGCTTGCTTACTTGGACTCCATACGGAAATGTTAATTTACACTAGAATAAAGTCTTTATTTCCTTAAAGATTTAACAGAGGCTTTGGATGAAGATACAGACCCCACAAAATCTGCACTATCTGCAGTTGCAACTTTGGCAGCTGCATGGCCCCAATTACATCAGGGTATGTGTGGGTTTCTTTTTTTTTTGGTTACATTTTTTTTGCTGTATTTTTCAAAAATATAATTTACATTATTCGCTTAAACATTTTTAGAAGTCAAATAGACTAATTGATTTTATTGTTAACTGTAGGTTGTAATTTGAAAAACCTGGATCTTGATAGCTGCACTCTTTCTGAGATTCTCAGGCTTCATATCCTAGCATCAGGTGCAGATGTAACATCAGCAAATGCTAAATATCGCTACCAGAAGCGAGGAGGATTTGATACTACAGATGATGCTTGCATGGAGCTAAGATTGAGTAATCCTGGATTGTTGAAGAAACTCTCATGTACCTCAGTATATGATTTATCATCAGGTAATAGAGCCAAACCAGTTTCTTATGCTCGGTGACAAATGTTCTCAAATTACTGAAAGCTTAATTAAACAAATTTGCAGAAATATTTTGAAGGATAATCATATTCAGTAACCTTTTAGTTGTAAGGATACTATACTGAAATTTACAGTCAGTGTTAATATGAGGGCAATTCAGGAATAAACCTCTGTTTGGTTATCAATGACAGACATTCGCAGATACATAACTTTTATTATACATATTAGAAAACTACAACATTACATATAATGTAAAAAAGTATTAAAAAAGTGGAAAGAGGGGCACATAACTAAGGCAGAATATCAGCAAATAGTCCAAGCCTGCAAAGATGAAGTGAGGAAAGCTAAGGCTCAAAATGAACTAAGGCTTGCAACAAAAGTCAAAAATAACAACAAAAAAAAGCTGCTTTCAACATGCAAAAAAAAAGAAAAAAGTTAAGGAAATGATTGGTCCATTAGTGGGAGAAAGTGGCAAGAAGGGGATAAGCAACAGGGAGAAAGCAGAACTACCTAACTCATTTTTTGCATCTGTCTTTACACAAAGGGATAAAACAGTCCAACCTATCAAAAATAGTACTGTAAAAAACAGATTAGAAACACAAGTTAAGATAGGCAAGAAAATAGTAAGTGAGCACCTGTCTACCCTAGACGAGTTCAAATCACCAGGACCAGATGGATTACATCCCAAGGTTCTGAAGGAACTAGCAGATGTGATCTCAGAACCACTGAACTATATCTTTCAAAGATCCTGGAGCACTGGGGAACTACCAGAGGACTGGAAAAGAGCTGATGTAGTTCCCATCTTCAAAAAAAGGGGGGGAAATGGATCCAAGAAACTACAGACCTATCAGCCTGACCTCAGTACCTGAGAAGATTCTGGAAAAGATAAGCAACGAATCAGCGAACACGTAGAGGCAAACAAAAAGCCAACATGGGTTTGTCAAAAACAGATCATGCCAGACAAATTTTATTGCATTCTTTGACCAGGTGACTACATTAGTGGACCAGAGGAATGCTGTGGATATAATTTACTTGGACTTCAATAAGGCATTTGATAAAGTAGACCACAACCTACTACTTGATAAGATAGAAAAATGTGGGGTAGACAGCATCACCACCAGATGGAACCATAGCTGGTTGACCGGCCGTACTCAGTGTGTGGTCCTCAATGGAACTGCATCTACATGGAGGGAAGTGTGTAGTGGGGTGCCCCAGGGCTCTGTTCTGGGTCCAGTGCTCTTCATCATCTTCATCAACGATTTGGACAAGGGGATAGATGGGGAACTCATCAAATTTGCAGACGACACCAAGCTGGCAGGAATAGCCAACACTCCAGAAGACAGGCTTAAGATATAGGAGGATCTTGATAGACTTGAACACTGGGCGCTATCTAACAAAATGAAATTGAATGGTGAAAAAAGTAAGGTTCTACATTTAGGCAACAAAAACCAAATGTACAGGTATAGTATAGGGGGTACCTTGCTCAATAGTAGTAACTGTGAGAGGGATCTCAGAGTCCTAGTGGACAATCACTTAAATATGAGCCAGAAGTGTGCTGCAGCTGCCAAAAAGCCAACACAGTGCTAGGCTGCATTAACAGAGGGATAGAATCAAGATCACGTGAAGTATTAATACCACTTTACAATGCCTTAGTAAGGCCACACTTGGAATACTGCATCCAGTTTTGGTCACCACGATGTAAAAAAGGTGTTGAGACTCTAGAAAGAGTACAGAGAAGAGCAACAAAGATGATTAAAGGACTGGAGGCTAAAACATATAAGGAACAGTTGCTGGAATTGGGTATGTCCAGTTTAATGAAGAGAAGGACGAGGAGTGACATAACAGCAGTGTTCCAATATCTCAGGGGTTGCCACAAAGAAGAGGGAGTCAAGCTATTCTCCAAAGCACCTGAAGGCAGGACAAGAAGCAACGGATGGAAACTAACCAAAGAAAGAAGCAACCTAGAACTAAGGAGAAATTTCCTGACAGTTAGAACAATTACTCAGTGGAACAACCTGCCTCCAAAAGCTGTGAATGCTCCAACACTGGAAGTTTTTAAGAATAGACTGGACAGCCATTTGTCTGAAATGGTATCGGAATTCCCGCCTGAGCAGGGGGTTGGACTAGATGACCTCCAAGGTACCTTCCAATTTTATTATTATTATTTGATATAATCGCTATTCAAATTGAGGCACTTGTCATAATGTCTTACAAGGTTTGAAATTCCTTAGTAGTAGTCGCTCGGCGCCAAATCTGGGTTATGGGGAGTGATCAAAAACATTCCAACGGAACTGCTTCAAAAGTTCTTGGGTGCATCTAGCAGTGTACGGGTGAGCATTATCGTAAACCAGCAACACACTGGAACTGCTGCCATAGAAAATCCCGTCAAATGTGAAGATGCCAAAGGAGTACTGCTAGTGAAGTTCATGGAGCGTGGTTCGGCCATCAGTTCAGAAATCTACTGTGAAACGTTAGGGTTAGACAAGCTGTCCATTACAAGCGTCGGGCATGCTGACTTCCAGCATGATGTTGGTTCATGATAATGCTCGTCTGCACACCCCTAGACGCACCCAAGAACTTTTGAAGCAGTTCCATTCAGATGTTTTTGATCACCCCACCCCCCATAGCCCAGATTTGGGGTTGAGTGACTACTACTAAGAAATTTCAAATCTTGTAGTTAGATGTTATGGCAAGTGCCTCAATTTGAATGGTGATTATATCGAAAAGTAATGTAATGTTGTAGTTTTCTAATGTGTATAATAAAAGTTCTGTATCTGCGAGTGTCTGTTATTGATAACCAAACAGAGGTTTATTTCCGAATTGCCCTCGTATATATGGCTTTATAAGAATAATGAAGACAATTTGGCCATTTTATAACTATTGTTCAGGATTATGGTTTTAACTTTATGGAAGTTGTTCCAGTACTTAAAATCTTAAACGTCTGATCAAAGGAATTATTTTATACTCTATAAATAGTTGGATGTCCCTAGTAGGATTTTGAGGTGTATTGATTTTGTTTAAAAGTTTGGCACCTTTTCCAAAAGTACTTTTGAATGTTTTTTGGGATTTTATTTATACACACACATGATGAATAGATAGATAAATTTAAACAGTATATTGGAGTTATTAATAATGTGTCTGGGTAGGACTAATCCATGAAATATAATAATCATCTGTATGTACCATACATTCTTTTTTTGTATACA